ACAGGCAACTAGATGCCTATGAGAGTGTAGAAATAAGTAAACACAATAATATTATGAATAACGATGACGGACCTATACCAAAGAGCATACTATATAACTTGTTAAAATAAAATAAAATAATGTTGTTGGGTTTACTGATTACTACATAAGGACACATTGCAAAAATAAATTTAGATAGGCAATATTGTGAAATTAATTTTTATATAGCTGAAAATTGTATATAAACATATATTGTAAAATGATAGATGAGGCAAAATTGTAAAATTTATTCAGGTTGGTATACCTGTAAGGGTGGTACGCCTGGATGGTTTACCTGTATGGAATACCTATATAGCATAAATAGTTTAGCTCGCATTAGTTTCTAGTTTTAATCTTCCTCTTCGAAGATGATCACTTGGTGATCAAAACACGTGTCGAGGTGTTAAAAATAACGATTTGGTGTTGAAAAAAAACTCCAGTAATATTCATTACTACACCAAAGGTATGATGCACACCAGTGCATCATAATTACCCATGTATATTGGAGTCAGTTCATTGAAGAAAACGATTCACTAACACAGTCAAAGACGCAACATTTTTTCACGTGGTCAAACTGTCATTTGACTTACTCCTCCAAAACACAACTCTCATTCAATAGCAATCAGTGCTATCACCTACTACAGTTTCAATTTCGAATTGTCTGTATTCCCAGATGTTATGTTAATTGTTATCATATGTTGCCCACTTGATGAATGTTTTCATCTCATTTTCTCTCAATATATCTGAATTTCTAACTACCAAACATGGAGTTTTCAACTTGTCGACCTTTTGTAAGGCTTTTTCTGAACAACAATTATGTAAAACTCACCTCAATATTGAATGCCGTTGTAGACACATTATGGATGATCTGACGTATATCCATCCATTCATCGTGTACACCGCTACCATATATTATGACACAAAATATCCTAATGATTAAAAGGCCGAATGACATGTGAAATTTCTACAATATAAAAAATGAACAGAGCTGATTTGTTTCAGAGTAAAGAAACAAACTGAAGAGTTCATCCTGATTAGTCTAGCAAGAGATTTGTGGTTCCGCCTTGCACTACTGGTCAGACCTTTCTGCTGATAAATCCGATGATGAATCATAAATGCGTTGTGTTTAAACTCTAGTTCACTAGCTACCCAACTAGTTTCATTTATCACTAGGGTAATTCTTATAAATGTAACGTTTTTCCAATCTTTTGGAGTGAAGAAACAATTGAATTTTGAGTTTTGTCTACATTCAGTCCAAAATTATTAACTGAAATCAGTTTTCTATTGGTGAACTTCTCAAGCTTGGTTTATTATTTGTCTGAACAAATCATGCTGTCGATAACAGCATATAAAATATCAGCGTGGTTCAAACATAACTGGCTGGTATCTCAA